TTAAAAGTGATATTTTCAACTTCTTGTTAAAAACCACCGCAAGTCCAATTGCTTTAATATTACATTTATAGGTACTACATGTGGACTTTTCTTGGATTTGTTCATTTTGTAATGATATCGTCAATTCTCTAATTTTGGTGAATATTTTTGTCATTTTTGGTAAAAAGTGATATTTTCTTCTTGTTAAAAACCACAATCATTTATGGTGAAAAATGATATTTTTGAATTCTTGTTGAAAACAGCAAGTCCCATTGCATTGATACTATGCATATTGTTCATTTTCTAATGATATCTTCTGTTCTTTAATTAAAATGTGCATTGCTAACAGCGGAGCTATCTCAGCCGAGAGGCTGCTTGTTTAACTAAAAATATTTGTTTGTTGGATTGACAGAGTTCATGATCCAGACGAACCAAAGGAGAATATCTTTCTTGTCGAACAGCGAGATAAGCGTTATTTGATGAATACTATTGCACAGTTGAGCACAGAAGATACATTTTCCAGTTTGACCGGCACTTCTGCATTACCCAAGAACCTTCCAGAAAGTTCTTGTGATTAAGGAAAGATGAATGGTAGACTGTGAATCAATGGATTTTCCCATTCTTTAATAAATACTTTCCATTTCCAGACACAATTGGTTTATTGTAGTATTTGCTGATTTAGATTTTAACATTGTAATATTATAAGTCATCTGTGATGGCTATAAATTATTAGGAATTTACACTCTATTAGTTGTAATGTTAGTTTGTTTTTTTTTAATCGAAAATTTTATGATTTGCCATCTCTTAAAAAACTAAATTTTATAAATTACAGTACCATGGTACTCATTTTTGGGTGGTATTTATATTAAGTTAAATCTAAGATAATATTACTGAAGGCTTGTGAAATTTTTCTGCATGGAGTATCTTCATAATATCGACAATATGCATATCTATGAATATGTATTAAGATATGAATATTTTCAGGGATTTTGTTCGACATGATTCTATTGTCAATTAGTCTCATCTTTAGAATAAACTTTGTAAATATACAACTAATACAGTTTTACCTAAAAATACAACTGCTCTGGGGTGTTATGTTTACAAATGTGTTATTGACAGCTATTGATTCAGCACGCACAGTGCAAGTTTTGTCTACCCGGAGGATGTCTGCAAAACTGTAGGTGTGTATTGGATACCTTTATTGTATCATCAGATGCTTATGGTTATACCATAATCCAAACTAATTTTTATCCAATATTTGGATATATTATAAACAAATTTTTTTGTCTAAATCTTACAATTTGCAACATTGGTGATAATGTCACAATAATCTTTGTAATGTGTATCTTATCATTTGTTATGATATAGGTGAAAATTTAGATTAAGTAAAATGTTTAACATGGAAATAAGCAAGTGAGTACAAGCACACACTATATTTAGAATAAAATGTTAGTACATGTAATAGAATTACTTTCTAAGATGTTATTTAGATAGCAGTTTTCTGAACTATCTATATTTTTCTTGCCTAAAGTTTTGCCATTATTAATCCATGTTTATTAATTACCAACCTTGTATAAATGGGTTTGTGTGACCTCATTAATATAAGTGTAATATCTCAAGCACTGTTGCAGATAAGGAAATGCAACTAGTGCTATAGTTGAGGCATTTGATAAAAAAATACGACTAACATATTAAATGACTGTATATGGTCATGTGATCTAATTAATATGCATAACTACTATATTAACACTGCTGCAACTAATGACATGCAACCATTGCTGTAATAAAAGAATTTGACAAGATACGACTAACATACATGTCCACATATGGTCAGGTGATAATATGCATAACTGCATATGGTAAAATGCATAACTGTAACACCTTGAACAAAAGCAAGTATGTGGTCAAAATATGAATAACAACTTAAATGATTTTACTTCATGTGATCAATACAATTTTTGCTTTATGTGAATTAAAAATATGCTTCTAATATAGTAAGTACTTCATGCCTGCATACCCTTAGCACATGGAAGTTCTTTCTAAGATTTCTTTGATTCAATCCCTGTTTAGATGAAGTTTGGCTTCTGTCCATCTGTGCTTTGACCGATCACATTCAAACTAATTGGCAACACAAAGAACATGTATGTAGATTTAATACTTGATATGCACGTTTTTTTTACAATTTGATTAAATATGGCTGGCTGGTGACCATTTGTGTTTTCCAATTTTCCAAACTCCTGTACTTAATTGTGGCTGTAGCCATTCCTCACGGATGAACAGTCGGAATTTGAACTTTGTAACAAGATCATGCATTCTGGGTTACAGGTGCATGTCATGTACATGTATTTTTTCGTGATTCAATTAGTCACCCTTTTTATTTTCCACCCATATTGATTCCTCACTAATATATCTCCTGATTCAGTTGAAAGTGTCCACACAAATACTATACTCGTATCACAATTATAACGAGGACTGTTTTATGATTTGATCAAATTTAAACTTTGCCCCAACTAAATTTAAAACTGACTGAAATCACTTTCACCATTTTAATATATCCCATTTTCGTATTAATACCAAGTTTATTTTAACAAATGTTTATTTGGTAAAATGTTTATATCCAAATTTCAGAACGCTTTATACCTGCGATTTATACCTGTGCAGGTAAAATTTGCATGGCACTAAGTATCAACTCTTTGAAATCATGGGGAATACTTTGTAGAAGCTCATTTGAAAGTCAGGGTTAAGAACCTTTAATTTTTGTGAAATTGTTTCCATAGATTGTTGCCAATAGTCCACTCATTTCAGGAAATTTCCTTTATTGTTAAATGCAAGTGCTACAATTCTTGTGTTCTAGGCAACTATTTATTTCTCAGGACATCTACGAGTCTGTGACGTTAAAATAATTTTTTTTTTTTTGGAATAAAAGTACATGCGCTAACATTATTTGCTAACAACAACAATATTTCTCATAATGGATGTTTTATGTTTATTTTTAATTTTTAGAGGGAGTTGTGAAATTTGGGGCAATAAAATATGTTTTATTTCCATGTCTGTTTCATCGTAATTGAAGGTTAAAAGAAAAATGTTGTTACAATTGTAATGCATATTCCACCATTTACTGAATTTATATTCTCATGGAGTCTAAAATTCACCAGTGTGATAAACACATAATTTAATTCTGCTATGCACTATAGAAGAAATATCGACATTGAAGAGAGCTTGCATTTTATTTTGCTCACATCCAAAAATGTGTGCAAGGATACAGCAGTACTCGGTTACATAGCTTCTTTTCATGCTGTGATGCAAGTTAAGTTCCTTCACACTCGGCCAAGGGGGTTGCAGATGAAGAGGGGATGCTGTCCAATCATGTGACTTTAATGCCTTAACATACTGCACTTAATGACTTATTTCTTCATTCTTAACAAATCTGGTTTACAAGTTAGTGCTTATCACACTGAGACAGGTTTTCGTTCCGCTGTTTGATGAGAAGCGTAGCTGGCATCTTGAACTTTTTTACACAGTTATGAGACTCTGGTCAGTCATTTCTATAAGAATGTTGGTTCTTTGAACAATTGAGCTAAACCACAAGATAAGCATAATTACTTTAATAAGAAGGTATTTTTGTCAAGTGACAGGCAATAGAAAGTCTTGGAAACACTTCTAATGGGGAGGCAAGAGAAGTTTTCAAAACTATAGGGCAATTAAGCTCTATCCATGGTATGTCTGACACTGTCGCACATGTCTAGCCCTGCAGAATGGCAAGCAAGGTGTTTTCCTCAGATTGCACCTTACACCTATCATTCACACTTACTGAAATAGTACCAGTCCTAGTCAGTCTCTGTGAAGTGCTAATAATTTTATTTAATCCATATTTAAGAAATACTACCTAAATCAGAATTGATATCATTGGTTGCAGTGATTACTGTCCTGAGAATAGCGCTGTGTTATCTGCACAAAGCACTATCTTACAATGATTAATATCTAACACGTATATGACCAGATTGTACTGATACAAGCAACAACAACCAACCTTCACTTGTTTACGGTCGAAAATCTTAAAGCTGTATGTGAAATCAAATTCGGGTCATTCGCCTAGAAACGAATAATTTTACTTGGGCCCGGACTGGGTGGTCATAAGTAGTCATGTGAGGCATAAAATCGTTTTAACAACAAAATATTAATAAAACCTATCCTAATGTAACATCAAATAATATAAATTGGATCGATAATTTGTTATTATGGTGTCCCTATTTTTACAAAAATCGAGCATAGCTACTGCTGTGAGATACAGTGAATGAAAAGTATATTCAACACTGGAGTGTGCTATAATGCCGACGTAGTGGGCGATATTGGCTTGACGGTTTAACATTAAAATATAAACAAAAGTGCACTTAAAAAACCCAAAGGATTCTCATCAGGCGCTGTTGTCAGTCAGATGTGCATGTTGTTTAGTCAATGTTATAATGTTCTTTGATTAAAGCGGGAGGGTCGTCACCTAAGCACGCGCGCGAATTGAGTCCCAAGCGACGATAACAACACGCTAAATACGCAAAGGCTCATGAGTAGACGCTTGTTTGTGAACAATGACACGCTATGGCCATCTGACGCAGGTGACGACTCCTCTGCTTTAACAACTGGTATATGTATGGCTCATTAATATTCTGACGTTCAAAGTTTACTCAGGAAGGCCGAGAACCATGTGGATGGATAACAACAATCCTTCAACTATTTTTAATGCATGTATATGGCACAACATCAAGAACATTAGCGTTCAATATTATTTAGCTTGCTGAAATCAGAGGGCACCTGATAGTGATGATGCGGTCATTTACAGGTAGGCAATATACACTCTGGCGTTGTCTTTGATTGACTATAACAGTAATACTACTACTAATCTTTGGTAGCGGACATTTTTGTTCAGCATTTACTAGGAAAGTACGTCTTAGCTCCAACCTTTACCTGTTTACTAGTTTATTATAGTTTCCAGATTGCCGAGCTGTGTGAATGAATGTTCACTATAGTGAATGAAATGAGCAGGTGATTTGTGTTTGAATGAAACATGTGAATTACTAAGATAATTAGATGAATCCCGATTCCTCAAGATTACGTAAAACACGTACGCAGCGACAAAATACAACCCCTGATGAGACTGTAGAAAAACGGCCTAAAACTCACAGTAATATTTCATTACAGAGCGGCAACTCGGACGCTAAAGTTGAAAGGCCGGGGGGGGGGGTACTCCAAGTTAGACCTGTTACCCATGCTGAAGTATACCTTTTCGAAATATCCTCTAAACACGTAGAGAACGTTGAACTTAGAGGCAGGGCGAAGGCAAGTTTTTATTTATTTAATAATGGATACGTGTAACTTTGTATTTCTTGAAAAGGATTACATTACATTCCATTGAACAAAAACATGTGTATATATATTTATTATTTCTATAGTGATTGGAAATACGAAATAAAGTATGAAAGCTATGTAATTCAGTGTATGGTTACTCTTCAGTCCTGTATTCTAATGTCCACAAGTATTAAAGGCCGATAGTCGTCGCGCCACGCATGCGCGAGATATATTGGTCTCATATAAACAAAGATGGCGTCTTTGACTGTTGCGCAGATCAACGAGTACAAACTAACACGTTACCAGGCGTTAATTAAGTTTTGTTTTAGGTGATTGGAAGGTATCGAATTGGAGTCTCCGGTGGTAATTAGTGCAAGTCGCGCCCAGGTCAAACCTCATACTTGTGATTTCCATTAAAAGAGCGCATTGAATTGTGGGAAAATCAATGTTTATCAACACAAATAACGCACATGCGCAGCGCGACTACAGCCCTTTAATGATAAATAAAATCATCTTTTGATCAGCGATGCGTCGTAAAGATGTCAATGTTTGGAAACTTGTTGATTATAAGCACACTATCTTCTTGTGTCGCTTGCTCCCCTCTCACCGTCTATTTGTAGTGATTCCTTTATATTTTCTTCCCGATATGGTGAGTAATATTACATGGTATTTAGGATTTTGGTGTCCAAGCATAGGTTGTTTGACACCACTACCAATGTCCCTGGT